AGAGGCGGAAGGTGCAGGTGGGACGCCGTCGTGGAGGCACACGCGGGCTTTGTGGACGCCTGAGAGGAGGGGGCCGGCATGGGGGGAGGACGGCTTCGGGACGACGGGCTGCGCGCGGCCTGAGCGGGAGTCGTGCTCTGGCATCCTGGGAGAGGCTCAGCCGGGGTCACCCACAGGGTGACCTGCCAGAGCCGGCGACTGTGCCGGGGGACGTCCCTGGGGTGCTGGAGGCTGTAATCGGCGTTTAATATGCGTTGGCGGTGTCATTGATCCTTTACCAGTGAAGGAGGGTTGGGTGTGCCAGGTTCACCCAATTACGTCTTTACCTGCAAATGTGAGATAATTGCTGTTTGTTTAGCATTTTATGCTGGCCATTGTGCTTAGGGTTTCGGGTAATGTTACCTTTTTTGGTTCAGCTATATAGGAGTAACAGTCCATTTAAACATGGTATGTCTCCCAAATTTCAAGAGGAATGCAATTTTTGGTGTTCAGAAAGATCACTACTAATTTGGGACTATTAAGGCTGATTGAACTGAACAGGTGATTTGAATAGTTGAATAACTAGCTGATTAACAGGCTAAAGACCATTTTACTGATGAAAATTGGAGGTTTTTTTTTTTTTTTGCCATTTAATTAGCTCTGGCTATTCTGGAACTCACTTTGTAGAGCAGGCTGGCCTTGAACTCACAGAGAGCCACCTATCTGCCGGAGAGTGCTCGGATTAGTGTATGGCACCATGCTCAGCTGAAAAAATCGAGGATTCTTAAAATCATCTTAAAGACATCCCCTCATCCCAGGGTTTCTCTGTGTAGCCCTATCTGTCTTGGACCTTGCTCTGTAGGCTGTCCTTGAATTCAGAGATCCGTCTGCCTTTGCCTCCTGAGTGCTGGGATTAAAGGCCACCACTGCCTGGCTGAAGTCATTTTTTGAGGGCTAACAAATGATCACTATTTTTCCCTCCTCTTTTTTTTTTTTTTTTTTTTTTTTCAAACAAGGGTTTCTTTGTGGGTTTGGAGGTTGTCCTGGAACTTGCTCTTGTAGACCAGGCTGGTCTTGAAATCACAGTGATCCACCTGCCACTGCCTCCCGAGTGCTGGGATTAAAGGCTTGAGCCACCAATGCCCAGCTTATTTTTTCTCTCTTAAAAACACTTGGGATAGCTAATATATTGTTGCGCTCTGCAATTTATAGCACATACAATGAGACATACTTCTGCCTTTGCCTGGGATTACTATATTTTTCCAGGGATATTAGTTATATGTCAAGCATATGCATTTCTGTTTTCCTTTTTACAAATAATAGTGTGCTATACATTGTTTAGCAATTTGTGTGTGTGTTTATATTTTTTGTTTTAATTGTGTATTAGTGTGTGGGGTGTGTGCCTGAGAAAGCAAGTGCTCACAGAGGTCAGAGGTGTGAGATTCCCCTGAAGCTGGGGTTACAGCCACCTGATGGATGCTGGGAATCGAACTCAGGTCCTCAAGAAGAGCAGTATAAGCTCTTAACCACTGTGCCATCTCTCCAGCCTGTGTGTGTTTAAGGTTTATTTTTAAGCATTTTCATTTATGTATACGTGACTGTATGGGTGGATGACCTTGGAGGTGAGCTGGAGTCACAGGCAGTTGTGAGCTGCCTAATGTGGGTGCTGGGAACTGAACTTGGGTCCTTTGGAAGAGCAGCAAGCTGTCTTAACCACTGAGCCATGTCTCCAGCCTGCAAACCTGTGGTTTTACTTGTTGCCTCATGCCTTTGTAATGTTACACATACAGAATGTCATTCATTGTATGCAGTAATATTATTTTAGTCAATCCAGGTTGCCATAACAAAATACCATAGACTAAATAGTTTAAACAACAGAATTGGTTTCTCAGTTCTGAGGATTGCATGTCTTGAGATCAGGGTGACATCATCCTTGTATCTGGTGAGGATTCTTGCAAACAGTGTGCTTAGGTGACATTGTGGTTTATGCCTGTGTGGGCACATGGATGAAGAAACAGTAGGCTCTCTAGTGTCATTAGAGGCCCACTCAACCTCATCAATACTAATTACCTCCCAAAGGCTCCGTCTTCAAGTACCATCTCATTGGGAGTTATGTTTCAATGTATGAGCTCATGTGACCAGTGTCCATAGCATGTGAGTGTGTTTCTGTCTATGTCTAATGGTGTCTGACTGTGTCTTAGGTGTCAATCTGTATCTTTTCAGTAGTCCCTAATTGATGAAAAGTTGTCTTCCATCTTTGATATTTTTTAAAAAATTTAATTTAAATTCATTTTATGTGCTTTGGGTGTGAAGGTGTCAGATCCCCCTGGAACTGAAGTTACAGACAGTTGTGAGCTACCATGTGGGTGCTGAGAATTGAACCTGGGACCTAGAATAGCAGTCTATGCTCTTAACCACTGAACCGTCTCTCCAGCCGCCCCTCCCCCATCTTATTTAAAACAGCTTCTAAGCTAGGCTTGATGGCATGTAACTCTGAATCTGGAGGCAGGAGGGTTGAGGCCATCTTGCTATGAATGAGTTCTAAGTCAGCTTGCACCATACAATGAGACTGTCTTGGGAAACAACAAAACAAGCACAAAACACCAGAGATTTCTGTGATGGATGTTATACACCTTCTCCCTCACCTCACTCTATGTATCTGTTCTTTAGTAGTAACTATTTTCATTTGTTTGTTTTCCCTCTCTGTAGCCCAGATTGGCCTGGAGCTCACTATGTAGACCAGGATGGATTTGAACTTCCTTGATCCTCCTGCCGAGATGACAGTGTATGGTACCACACTGAGCCCTTTGTAATATTTAAAGAAAACAATAGATGCTAGTGTTTCTCTGGGCTCTGTGACCCTCTCCAGAGCAAATAACTGGTTTGCAGACTTGAATGTATAGCACATATCACACAAGCCTGGGCTTGGGATTGGCATCTAAAGCTAGTATTCCTAGGGACCCACTCAACCTGTGGGACCTGACGTCATCTGTGGGTAATGGTGTCAGAATGAATTGAGTCAGAGGACACTTAGCTGGGGTTTTGTTTTGTTTTTGTCTGTTTGGCCGCCCCCCCTCCAGACAGGGATTAAAGGTGAGAGCTACCACCACTTGGCTACTTAGTTGGTGTTTGCTGCCTGGATTGTTTGCTAGGCTGTGAGGAAAAAGCCCACAAACTTAGTGTTGGATGTGTTTTTTCCTACTATATTCTTATAAAACACTTCAAATACTAGAGAAGGGCACTCACTACAACATCTTTTTTAACAGAATACAAACACCTTCCTCTTCTAGAGTAGCTGTCAGAGAGGCACACAGGGCATAGCTGCTGGCCAGTGACTTGGAAAACCTGCCTCTCCCCTCTTGGGCCTTGAACAAAACTGTTGTTTTGGAGAGATGAGGATAGCATACAGTTCAGCCTATATTTAGAGTGGGTTTGTATCTTTTTTTTTTTTTTTTTTTTTTTTTTTTTTTTTTTTTGTCTCGTTTTTCGAGACAGGGTTTCTCGGTGGCTTTGGAGGCTGTCCTGGCCTGGAACTAGCTCTTGTAGACCAGGCTGGTCTTGAATTCACAGAGATCCATCTGCCTCTGCCTCCCAAGTGCTGGGATTAAAGGCGTGCGCCACCAACACCCGGCATGGGTTTGTGTCTTATCTGTTCTCACTACCACAGGCATGCAGTGTTGGCCTCATCACCTAGGTTTTGGTACACCAGATAGTGGTTGTTTTCTTTTCTTCCTTCTTTCCTTCTTTTTTTTTTTTTTTTTTTTTTTTTTTTTTTTTTTAAAGATTTTATTATTTATTAGGTATACAGTGTTCTACCTGCATGTTGTTTGCTTCCACACCAATAGAGGGCACCAGACCTCATTACAGATGGTTGTGAGCCACCATGTGGTTGCTGGGAATTGAACTCAGGACCCCTGGAAGAGCAGTCAGTGCTCGTAATCACTGAGCCATCTCTCCAGCCCTGGTTGTTTTTCTTTTTTTTTAAATTTAAAAACTATTTAGCTGGTGGGCGGCGGGTGGCACATGCCTTTAATCCCAGCACTCAGGAGACAGAGACAGGTGGATCTCTGAGATCGAGGCCATCCTGATCTACAGAATGGATTCCAGGACAGGTTCCAAAGCTACACAGAGAAACCCTGTCTCAAAACAACAACAACAACAACAAAAGGTCTCTCAATTGTCATAGGTAGAGTAGAATATGTAGTGTAAATATACTGGATAAAGAAAACTCACATCCAGGAGTAGGATGGTGTAGAAACTTACCATGATACTCAGAATGCCAAACTTAAAATTGTCTATTTCGGTAATTTCCATGAATAGTTTAGACTTGAGTTGCTATAGGTAACTGAAACAACAGGAAGCAAAACCCTGAATAAGAGAGATTTCCTTACCCTTCGTTACAGCTACTCACCTTCTACTAAATATAGAGAACTTTCCACTCAAGACCTACAAGTTTATGACAATATATTTCAGAAGGCTAATTTACATAACTTTCAAGTGTTATATTTTAACCATGCTTCTATATAAAAACATTGAGCCTGGCAGTGGTGGCACACACCTCTAATCCCAGCACTCAGGAGGTAGAGGCTGGCGGATTTCTGTGAGTTCAAGGCCAGCCTGGTCTGCAGAGTGAATTCCAAGACAGCCAGGGCTGTTTCACAGAGGAAACCCTGTCTCAAAAAACAAAAACTATTGAAAAACATGCACTGCTCCTGACCTTCAGCCCTAGGGATTGGATCTAGGGCCTGCACATGCCAGGCAGTGCTCCACCACTAAGCTCCTCTCCCTGCGCATGCCAGGCAGTGCTCCACCACTAAGCTCCTCTCCCTGCGCATGCCAGGCAGTGCTCCACCACTAAGCTCCTCTCCCTGCGCATGCCAGGCAGTGCTCCACCACTAAGCTCCTCTGCAGCCTCCTCCATCTTTTCTACTCCGTATGCATGTCTGCGTGTGACTGAGCGTGGGCATGCGGACGCATCCTGGTGAGCCCTTAGGACAAAAGTTTTTTTCCTACACAGTACAGAGATAACACAAATTTA